GATTGTACCTATGAAAATTGAGGATAACATTTTCCGTGGAAAATTTAACCTATCAAACAGTCAAAAAGTGTTAGTAGGAAAATATTTTCCTACTTCCATGGAAAACTACACGAATCAAACGGACCCTTAGGTGTTCTCAGTTTTCACTTGTACCAAAATTCCTTGTAAAAAATAAAATTAACATTCCTTTTGTTTTCCATTAACTCCTCATTTGTAGAAGAATCCAACCGTTAGTGGATTTCACCGAACTGCAACATTTGACTTGCTCCACACATATTTTCAATGGCAACGATCACTTTTCAAAGGCAACTGTCACATTTTTCTACTTTTGCACAGAAAATGTTGTCAAAACAGGGGCTAAAATAGAAGAAGTAGCGAAGAAAAGCTTTTCTATTTTTTTCTAGTGTAAAGTTCAAGGTCTTTCTAGTTCACATAAGATTAAAATAAGAACAAAGTGTGTGAGTTACACTACTACGTTCACAATTACTAACAAAGGAACAAATTAACGATGGATAACATTAAGACTTTAGGTTTCATCTTAAAATGTCAATATTATTAAGATGAATAGTCCAATTGCTCTTTTGAGCTTAATAAACTTTGATACCATATAAAACATTGAATATCCACCTTAAAATATTAATTTTGCTAAGAAAAGTAGCTAAAATATGAAAAACCTCACTTTATTGGTACATGATCACTTGTACAACAAGGGGGAAAAAAATCTTTATGCTAAAAATTCTATTATCATCTAATCTAAATAAGGAGAGAAGAAAAATTAGAAAAATAAAAATAAAAATAACACCCATAAAGATAAAAGATTATAAAGTGCACCTCATATAGAAATTTTTTATTTTTATTTTTTAGAAGACAGTGGTTAACCTTGAGGGACGCCCTTAATAATTTTGTACTTGATCAAGTGCATCTCAGAGAATAAATTTGTTTAGATCGTGGGCTGGCTAGTTACCTTTTCTCTTTCACTATTTACAAGTGAAAATAAATTAGAAAAATATTTCTCAATCATAACTAGGTTAGGTGATAAGTGCATGGTTATATTACTATGTTTTCGTATCGTCAAAATATTGATTTCTACTTAACTTACGTTGATTTTCTTTTATTTCAGCGTTGGACTCATTTTTAAGCAATTGGAAAAGAATTAGAAGGAAAAATGGAGAAAATTTAAAGTTAGGGGACCAAAGTGTAAATATCCAGTGGTTGATTCAGACCACAAATGATGATTGAAGATCACATAGAATCAATTAGATAGAATTGAAAGTCAAAGGATCAAATTATACTTAGAGTATTTTCTTAAATCAATTTCCAGCGCCTAAGTTGTGCTCCATATTTTCTGCCTTGGGTTAAGACCCATTTTTGTCGTAGCAAATGTTTAAATTGAAAATTTGATATTTTAAGAAGAATTATAGCCCTATGTGTTAGCTATCTAACATACTTTGAATCACTTCAATCTGACATCAGGAGATAAATTTATGACAAAAATATTAAAGTTTGCGTGAATTGGATGATCGCCCAATTCTTCAAGCGGGCAATCCACGGCCTTCAATTTTGAATTATACTCCAACAAGGACTCTTCTTCTTGGGCTATATTTTGGACATTTTTGAAGACTTTTGGTGCACTTTCGGGGAGTATATAAATGCAACTATCAACTCTAAATTGGAGGGGATCGATATAGCATTCCATTCATCTCATATTCATCATAAAAATCATCTTTTTGGAGCAAAAACTAGAATTTTTCATTGGAGAATTCATCCGGGTTCTTCTTCTCCGAGTTATGAATTCCATCTTTTGTATTAGTCCCTGTCTCTTTATCATGATGGGCAACATTATTTTGGTTTTAGGTTTTCGATGAACCTTGTATTAGGAAATTTTAACTTTATAATATTGTTTTTTTATATTAAAGCACGTTTTCAATTCTTGAATAGTTGTCATGGATTTATGTTTCTCTACAATTATATGCACAATAGTTGTATGATTTTTGTAATTTGTTTTACCTTCGAAAGATTGAAAATAAGTTAAATATAGTGTTAGTTGTCATAGAGTCCTATAAGGGATGTACATATATCGCTATACTCTATGTGATATTTAAGTATTCATAAACCTTTAATGCATTCTTGTATGTTTGCATCTGTCATAGAAATATAATCGGGTTATATGTAAGGATATGTTTAATTTTAGTTGAGAGAGATTGTTTAATAATTTAAGAATATTGATATTCATAATTGAATCGTGTTGTCAAATTGTAAGGTTCGGAGTTAAAAGTGATTGATATAAGGGGATTCGAGATCCTATTGTGTCTTTCATCATTATATTTTCATCAAACTTTCATTTATTACAACTTTACATTGATTTTATTCAAGTTACGTCTTACATTCATAAGTATATTTGTTGATCACAATTTAGTTATAAAAAAATCACCAATTTTCATAGTTTCAGTTAAGGATAAGTTGATTTGAACTTGAACTAGTACAATCTCTGTGAGTACGATACTTGAACTGAAAATCTATTTTACTACTTTTTAACAAATCGTGCACTTGCTGTATTACAAACTAAGAATAATTTCGTAACACTAGGCTCAAGAACTTGCATCGTGGTTAAGAAAATTAATCAATTTGAAAACATTAACTGCGCAAAATATTTCTTGTGATCGAGTATATTATTTAACAGGGAACGGGTTTGATAGAAA